CAACCTAATAGCGATGGCCTCCAACCTGATAGCGATGGCCTCCAACCAAATAGCGATGGCCTCCGACCTAATAGCGATGGCCTCGAACCGAATAGCATGGCTTCAACCTAATAGCGATGGCCTCCAACATAATGGCGATGGCCTGACACCCTAATAGCGATGGCCCGACAACCTAATAGCGATGGCCCAACGGGGTGGTCATCTCGCTGATTGAGTCCCCCAAAGGCCTCCCAGCATCCGACGTACTGCTTGTCACCTGGCAGTCGGAACTCTGAAATGTCGAACCATCCAAAACCATCCAAAACTGGCTGACCGGTCCAACCTAAGGGAGTTCTTTTGCTAACATGGGCTGTTGGGGCTGTTCCACAGGGCTGTGACAAGATATGTGCGTACGAACAGGGCCGTGGGTTGGTTGAAATCCGATGCTGTTGGAAGAAGAGCAACTTTTGGCCCTCCAAACACAGAAGAAACGAGCTTCAGCCCCTGGGATGTTCACGTGGACACAATGGTGACACAGCCGGAGAGAAAACCATGGCAAACGGTAAACGGTACCGCTATCTGATTCCCTTCTACCAATGCTCGGGCTGGCAGAAGATTCCCAAGACACATGCAACATCATGCAACGATGGAGGTAACTGATCTGAGTCAAGTTCACGAACGAAAAAAACCCTGACGACGATGGTCTTGTGGACACATCTGACGTTGATGGTTCTTGTTCACACATGTTCACACAAAATCCTGAAAATCTTCCCTCCACCTAAAACCTGACAAAAAGATATTCCCTCCTCTAAGAGGTGTAAACTGGAGATCCCTAAGTAGTGAAGGGTCTGGCCCAATGCATACTGCCTTCTTCCGCGCATCTCCGCGCATTTCCGCACATCTCCCCTTGCCCTCCGCCTGCCGCCCACATGTGCTTGAAGCGTGCGGCAGACCGCAGGAGCGCCATCTGCTGAAAAGCAACGGGACGGGCTTTAGTGGGCGAGAGATCTTTTTTCTTCCGCGGACGGAAGAAGGCGCTGGAGCCTGAAGATGGTGCCCCGATGTTCGCAACGTTTCGGGCGATGACCCATCGGATGGTGAGATTTTTCACTGGAACGCCAGAGTTTGCGACCATCTATACGTAGAGTTCCCAAGATTCTAGCCTGAAGACCGGTTTCTTCGTCGTTCTTGTTGGTATTCCATCGAGGTCTATTCTAGCAGTCGCTTCTACAAGTGCTACTAATAATAGTACTATACCAAAGACTATATCCTTACCGAACCACCATTGTTTTACTAAGGATTTTACACTACGAAGCCGGGTCAACCTTTCTTTTAACGGTCTTGGGCGGCTGGTGATAGTATATATGGTCCCATCTCTGCAGGTCTTGACCGGTTCCGCAAGAGCCTTTCTAATCTGTTTGATCAACAACTCTGATTCTGAGACACCAAAAACAGTCCCATAGTCGGCAGAGGGAAAACTCCACAGAAACGGGTACTTGTCTGCATCATTCTGCATCTGCATGCTGCAAAGTGGGTTCTGAATGGATTTCTTATCTGAGGCGTTCCCCGAAACCTGCTGGCAAAAGAAACTAACTAACTATAGGTTTCAAAGTCAACTTGAGGCCGAGGGTAGGTGACGAAAGCTAGCAGGGGTGCATCCGGACTGGTGGGACATCAAGCGGAGTGAGGCAAATGCTCATGAGGTAAAACGTTGTGAACATGTAAGACACACAAACAGCAATGACACAGCCAACCTTCGAATTGAAGTCCCCGACAATTAAGGAAGCGTGGCTGGACTTTGCCACACTGTTCGATGCATCCGATGTGTTCACGAACCTGTGAGCTTGTTGAATCTGTTGCACCGTATCCCAAAACCTCCACGGAGGAGTTGAACCAGTGATGCCATAAGAGGTGCCCAAGAGGTGTCCCAGAGGCAAAACAAAGCTGCTTGCATGATTTGTTTGGTTTCTTCTATCGATGTCGATGTCATGAACATGTGAGCTTGTTGAATCTGTTGCACCGTATCCCGGAGGAGTTAAGCCAAAGTGGATGCCATAAGAGATGCCCGAGAGGTGTCCCAGAGGCGTCTGAGGGGGGAGTTGAACCCACGCTGCGGAGGAGGGGGGGGGGGTTCCCCCCCCTACATATGAAGTTTTCACGTGATGCGGCGATCCCGAGGATTCCAGCCCCTCACTTGCTAAAGCAAGGACAACTCCAGCTAGCTGGTGCTAGCTTTCGTGACAATATATTCATTGAACCGACTGGTTGGCCTTGATTTCCGGCTAATGAAGGGAACCTTGCCTTCCCAAACAAATCTGATCATGAGGCGATGTTACATTATCTTAATTGATGTTCCATTAATGTTGTATGATTTAGCTTAATCTAAAGCATTCCCACATATTGAAGGAACTCAGGTAGCATTCAACGTCATTCAACTCTTCTAACATCTTCAAACAATTAATCATACTCACAAATTGAACCAACGGACATGCAGTTCAGCCCAGTGCCTCAGCGAAACAGCTGAATCACTGTGTCGGTCTGAGCGCTCAGTGTGTCTCCAGACCGTGGTGTTTCGGTCCCTATACCCCAGCACATCGGATAGAGGTTCCGAACACAGCCAGAAGTCCGGGTCCCTACAGCCATGATGTCCTAGAGCTTTAACAACATGATGTCCTACAGCCACATTGCTCACCTACAGCCAATGTTCGTGGCAGGCCAAGTGAACCACTCACAATTTCCAACTGAAACACCTGGCATTCCATGGCGCAGTCTTTTGTGTCCAGGGCGGCGGCGCGCGGCAAATCTTTGTTGCACGGTGTCGCGTCTTGCCTATCTTCCACATCACCGAAGAACATGAGCATCATGTTGTTGTACCAGAAACCGTTCGACTGGCGCAATCAACAACATGTCTTGCATGTCCACATCCAGGACGAGGTGGCTAATTTGAAACACCCCGAGTCACCTCGACTGAGGGATTCGGACTCGGACACCCGGACACGATCGATCCGGACCAGTTTCGGTTTCCTTCAATGAACAGTTGCAACGATGGAGCAGATTTCAGGTCCTTTTGGGAATCCCAAGGGGGTTCCATTTGCGGATCCAAGGAGGACACCCGGATCTTCCCGAACTTCGAATTCTGCCGAAAGACCCGTTTCTCCAGCCATTCAGGTTGGCGGAACTTCGAAGATCCAGCGTTCGTTGGGGTTTCACCTGTTCACCCGTTCCCTTTTCTCACCCATCCACCTGACCGCGTCAGACCGAGACGTGCCATTTCACTGTCTGTGACCTTTTGCATCGTTTCGTGGTTCGAAAGGTTCCTCCGCTTCGCAGAAACCACATGGAAAACCACGGAGTGGTAGAGTAAAATGGTCGGTCTGACGGTTTATGTCTCCCAGGTTCCATGCAGTTTTGTTTTGTTCTTTCCTGTATAGGGATCATGCATGTTGGCTTGGGAGGCCAATGGATCCATTATATACCAGGGGCCCTCCAAACCAGGAAGAAAACAACGGTTTTAACATTAAAAAAACATGTTTTTGCTCGGGAAAACCAGGTTTTTGGATTGTTTGTGGGGCCGCCTGGTATGGTCTATTGGTCTCTGTGGTGTGTTTCGATGCGTTGACCCCGAAAAAACGAAGTCCCGACGTCTCGGCGCCGAAGTTTCCATGCGTTCCGGCGCCGCGGTGGAACCAACACACGGAAACCGTTGCCAACCAAGCGCCGAAAGCGATCCGGTTTCGCGAAACCTTCGGTTGTGAAATCACTGGCACCGAGTTCAGAGGCAAGCCTTCCAGGCGATGAGAAACCATCTCTGAACAGAGCTTTTGAGCCCATGTTGGAGCCTACCGAGCTCAGCTCGAGCTCAGCGCCCTGTGCCTATCGGGGTTCACTGACGTGAGACAAAAGTGCGCGTCACATCCCGAGCTGTCGTTCCAGCAATTCCTCAATCTGCTGGTGTTCCACCTGAAGTGTGCGGGTCGTTCGTTTTTGTTTCATTTGTTCAACTGATCTTAAAAGGACCAAGGAACTCAAACACTCCATGGAGAGAAGTGTTACATACATAACCAAATGAACATGATCACCAATGTATATGTAACTGTTCCATACATGGTCCGGGCAAGAATAACATGAACACGTCGGTCTTTTGATGTGGAAAGAACATGAAAGAAATCTCTTAGAAATCCTATCCCGCTTCCAAGAGGTTTGACCCGGACAGTCCCCAAACTTCATTATTTGGTGGCCCCGGTCGGCTAAGTAGGTCAGCTATGGTCAGCTTCAGGCCACTGGGTCTCTGAACCCCTCTTGGCACCGCAGTGTGGCAGGGGGTTCGCACCGTAAACCGTGTGGCTGGCAACGTGTGGTGCAGGTCTTTTGGAGTTCAATACTCAACACAAGCTGATGGACTGAAACCCTAATGATGTCATAGGATTCATCGATTTTTCCCCCATAAACCTCGACTTGTAGGGCAGATTTGGGTGGGGACCGTGGGCCATCAACGTCGATGTCGATGTCGCAAACCCTGTCGAGCAATGCGATTCTGCTGTCATCCCCGGACAATTTTTTCAACTGACTGCACCTTCCAACACCTTCCAGTACCTGACTCTACAGGTCTCCGAGCCTTGGAGGGTTGGGAGTTGCGCCCGAAGATAGGTTTCAATGGGTGACCTGTTTTTCGTCGGTGCTGGTACATGGTTTAGGGTTTAGGGGTGGTTCAAGCTCTCTTCTAAGACCTACTGGCTGTGTCTCCACTTTCGACATCTCCTATTGGCCCCATACGTATGTTATCAAGGCCATTGGCTAATCCGGGATGAGTTCTCATATTTTAATGTTTGGTTGCACATGATGTTTCCTATTATGCCTGGTCCAACTCATCCTGGACTCATCCCTTGCGAGATCGCTGGGGTAGACTACTCCCCACTGGGCTTGCAGACTTTTCCTTCAAAGCTTGCTGCTGGTGTGTGGCGCTCATTCTAAGTCATCCAAATTAGGACGTGCAACTGGAAGAATATTTATTGGCTACAGCTGGTTAAACAATTGATCTTGAAATGCTGCCCAAGGTCGAACACAGCGATCGGCAGGACTGCCAAGTTGCATCCTGCAGCCAGCCCAAACATTTGTTAAAAGAAGTGGAGCTTTTAGAAAGTTGACAGCTCGACTTGTGTAGAGCCGAAACGAATATCTAAACAAAAAAATCAACCAATCTGTTTGGCAATGAAGCTGCCTACATCAAGTCAAGCTAGACTTGCTCCAACCGATTAAATAGGTGCAAACATGGGCTGGTGCGAAGGCAAAATGCGACTGAATTGACTTCACACGACATGCTCCAGCACTCAGCCCCAAATATAAAAATTGGAGCTTTCAAAGTTGACAGCTTGACTTGTGTAGAGCCGAACAAAATCAATACATTAAGCACACCTGTTTCGCAATGTTTCGCTGCCTACATTCTATATCCTCAAGTTCAACTCGCTCCAACTTGCTCCAACCGAGTGTCCTCGAAGAGTTGGGGATATCTCAATCCCAGAACGCTATGAACCCACCAGGTAAGGGGTGTCCATTAACCACCTTTTGAAGGCCCTGGCATAATTGAACCGACATGTGTCATGAGTCATTGGCTCATGTTCGGATGGGATGGGCACAAGATCCTCAAGGAGTCTCCAACCGACGCGAATCAGGCTCTGGAATGGATTTGCTGCGAAGCGGAAGCACAAACATCAGCCCGTCTTCCCCAGTGCAGGGGTGATGACCCACAAACCGGGAAACCTCCAAATCACCGAAGTCCTCCATATGATACAGTATACATTATATATATACCATCACCCTCCAACAGGTCTCCTCTGCCTGTGCTGACCTATTATTGTTATACAGTAATCATTAGCAAAACCAGGCACATGGTTGCCGGCTTCCAAAAAGGTCTCCCCCCCAAAACCATGACCTTTCTGATGACCTCTTTGACCTCCCGCAGGGATTTCACAAAAAAACAATCGCATCCTTCAGCGTCGAAGGAGGTGTGTGACCACCATCGGATGGAACTCCACCGACTTTCGTCGATCCAGATCTTCCTTGCATGGCGGTTTCAGGGCTTCAGGGCTGTCAGGCGTAATGGCCCAGGTCCGGCGTGGCACCTGGAGGGCTGTCCACGCGAGAAACGAGAAATGCTCACGCAAGAAACGGGCGGAGTAAAGGTGCTTCTTTCGTGGCCACGAAACGATTCGACCTAGGCCCTAGGGTTCCTGGCTCACCTCCTCACAAGGTAGAGACAACCCCCCTCTCACACCGCACA